AGAGCAGTCTCTGTGGAGTGGGCTGCCTTGAAACCTGACTAGTGGGGGTCAAGGAGGTGTTACAGTTGAGATAAGAGGAGAGTTGATTAAAGATAGCACGTTCAAGGGTTTTGGACAAGAAGGGAAGAAGAGAGACCGGTCTGTAGTTGTTTTCTTCAGAAGGGTTGAGGGTGGGTTTCTTCAGGAGAGGGTTGACTCTTGCCTCCTTCAGAGAATTGGGAAAACAGCCAGATGACAGAGCGTTGTTGATGAGAAAGGTAAGGAACGGAAGAAGGTCAGGTGCGATAGATTGTAGAAGATGTGATGGAATGGGGTCAAGAGGGCAGGTGGTCGGACGGGCAGAGGTTACTAGGGTAAGAATTTGGTTAGGAGAGAGGGCGGTGAAAGAGGGAAGTGAGGGCGAAAGAGGTGAGGTCGGTGGGACGCGAGAAGTAGGTGGTGGGTTTGAGAAGGAGGAGCGTATGTCAGCTATTTTCTTGGTGAAGTAGTTGACAAAGTCTCCCGGAAGAAGGGTGGAGGGGGGAGGAGGGGTAGGGGGTTCGAGGAGATTGGAGAAGATCGAGAAGAGTTTTTTGGGGTTAGAGAATGAGGATTCGATTTTGGACTGGTAGAAAGAGCTTTTGGCAGCAGAGATAGAGGCAGAGAACGAGGAGAGGAGAGATTGAAATTCAAGCAGGTCGTCAGGTCGTTTATATTTACGCCATCTCCTTTCCGACGCTCGCATGGTGGCTCTCATGGCACGGACCGGTTGAGACAGCCACGGAGCCGGAGGGGATTTGCCAGTCCGTCGTGTCGTAAGAGGGCAGAGAGAGTCTAGAGAGGAGGAAAGAGTTGAGAGGAGAGTCTCTGCAGCAGCGTTCGGATGCAAGAGTGAGAAGGAGTCAGTTGAAGGGAGAGCTGATAGAACAGAGGATGCCAGCGAGGAGGGAGAGAGGGAGCGAATATTGCGACGAGCCGGTATAGAGTTAGTCAATGAGGGAGGTTTGTTAGTTATAGAGAGTGGAAGGGAGTAAGAGATGAAGAAGTGATCAGACACATGAAGTGGAGTTACAGAGAGGTTAGTGGTAGAGCAGTTTCTAGTAAAGATGTAGTCAAGGTGATTGCCGGCTTTGTGAGTAGGAGGAGAGGGAGTGAGTGACAGAGCGAAGGAAGAAAGTAGGTGTACGAGGTCAGATGACTTCTCTGTCTGGATGTTGAAGTCACCCAGGAGGATGACCGGAGGCCCATTTTCGGGGAAATTAGACAGGAGAATGTCCAGTTCTTCCAAGAAATGACCTAAGGAGCCTGGCGGACGGTAGAGGACAATGATGGTTAATTGTACCGGGTGAGTGATTGTTACAGCGTGGAATTCAAAGGACAATGGGGTGGCTGGTGGTAGAGGGTAGAGAGAAAAGCTCCATTTGGGTGAAATGAGTAGACCTGTGCCACCACCCCTACCAGTGGGCCTGGGAGTGTGGCTGAAGGAGAAGGCGGAGGAGAGAGCGGCTGGGGTGGATGTGTTCTCGGGTGTGATCCAGGTCTCGGTCAGAGCGAGGAAGTCGAGTGACTGCTGGATAGCAAAGCCGGAGATGAAGTCAGCCTTGCGAGTCGCTGACTGGCAGTTCCAGAGACCTCCTGTGACGAGGTGCTGGACGTGTGAGGAGCGGGTAGGATAGGAGAGAGAGGAGAGGTTACGATAGAGAGCAGATCTAGCCCGAGGCCTGTAGTATCTGCGGGAAGAGATTCGAACAGGCACGGGTGAAGGGGTCAAACACATTATTAAAAATAGCAGAAAAAGGCGCCGCATTCAGCCGCCCCGAAGACTGCCACGAAAGACTCCCTTGTCTTTGTTCTGCTCGTCTACGCGCTGCGAGGATAAGCTAACGCTTCCCACGATTTCTAGTTAAATACTCCCTCGTTAGTGGAAGTCGGCTGCGGCTGCGCTGGCCGCTCCCCCGTCGTTTAGGAGACAAAAGGTCGATTGGCCTCGACAGAAACTCCTCAAAATGCAAAGCACCAATAGCTTGACACCCTAATCAGTGAACAAACACCATGTGGTCTTTGACAAAATGAGAGTTTTAGGATACAAGTCTTATTTGCTTCAGAAAACAAGGCAAAACAGACTTAGATCAGGTCAAAACCTAGCAGAGTTAGGAGGGCACACTGGCAGTTAACTTAATAGTAGAATCTAGAACACAAACTGGCACTAAAAGACTGAAAGAGCTTGAGCAAACTAGCAACCAAGATAACTTCAAACAAAGAGAACTGGTCGTGAGACGACAAAAAACTAAAGCAAATCAGCAATCAAATTAACTTAAGACACTAGAATCAACAGCAAATTTAGCAGACTAGCTTGGTTTAAAGAAAGAGATACTTAGTCCGATTTCAGGTCGCCTGGATGTCTGGTGGCCTTGTAGAAGAGATGCAAACTAGTTACTTTTACGGTATAAAAATCAGTTTTCATTAAGGAAATACATTTAAGAATCACATTAATCAAAGCTACACAGGCACTTTGGCCTATCTAACTTTTAACAGCCAAGCATAGGGAGTAAACAATGTTATTCATTAGTCTGTCCAATTTTGATTCATTACATTTATTCAGTATAGCCCAAACTCACAAAAAAAATTCTTCTGAGGAATTTACCATCTACACACATACAACCTCCTCTGTCCCAGGACCCTCGCATCGGTACAGGAAAAACTCCCACCCGAATAAAACCTGTAACGGGGGAAAAAAGGAAGAAACCGTAGTGAGTCCAATATGTCATGTTTACAGTATGAACAACATTACATTACATGTCATTTAGCTGACGCTTTTATCCAAAGCGACTTACAATAGGTGCATTCAACCATAGGATATAAACTCAGAAGAACAAGAAACAAGAAAGTGCATTTTCCTCAAATAGGCCAATTTACAATTTGCTATAGATGAGTGGCGTTATAAGTACAATTTAAGTGCTACAATTTGTTAGTCTTTTAGTCGAGGTAGAGTCTGAAGAGGTGTGTTTTTAGTTTGCGGCGGATGTGAAGGCTCTCTGCGGTCCTGGTGTGTTCAGAGAGCTCGTTCCACCATTTCGGAGCAAGGAAAGACAAGAGTCGTGATCTAGTTGAGTGTTTTGCTCTCAGTGAGGGAGGGACGAGCAGTTTTGCAGATGCAGTGCGGAGAGTGCGGGTCGGGATGTAGGGTTTCACCATGTCCTGGATGTAAGCTGGACTCGATCCATTCACAGCATGGTAGGTGAGCACCAATGTTTTGAACTGGATGCGGGCAGCCACCGGTAGTGAGTGAAGAGAGCGGAGGAGTGGAGGACTGTGGGAGAATTTCGGAAGGTTAAAGACCAGTCGAGCTGCTGCATTCTGGATGAGCTGCAGAGGTCGAATGGCAGCAGCGGGGAGACCTGCCAGGAGAGAATCTGAATCAGTACCTGCGCTGGCTTCTGAGTGAGAAGGGGACGTATTCTCTTGATGTTGTAGAGCATGTATCTACAGGATTGTGTTGTTGCAGTGATGTTGGGAGTCAGGGAGAGTTGGCTGTGGACCCAGGACGGAACCCTGAGGAACTCCAGTAGTAAGAGGACAAGGTTCCGACACAGATCCTCGCCAGGTTACCCGGTAGGTGCGGCCGTCGAGGTAGGACAAGCGAAGGGAGTAGTTTAATTTCAACAGCCAGACAGTTTGGAATAGCAAAGATAGATTGCGAAAAGTGCCTTTGTCTGATCTTCCAAACGAAAAAATTATGGAGATCTACCTACATGACAAATGCTAAATATCTATGTATACTGAGTATACTATACATTTGCAACATATGTTGACATACTTAAAATTTGAACTATTTACTTCTTGGCTGAAGTTTCAACTATCGACAGTCAACCTTCTATTCTATTCCAATCTATTTACAAACTTTTCTGCATTATGCAGATTACTACCGCCTTTTAAGCACGTGATCGTCAGCGAGTGCTGCTGCTGCTGCAGACGCACCCGTCAGTATCTCCTCACTGATGTACACAGCAATGCCCGCAGGAACAGCATTTTTTAACTGCTCTAATGCAAAGGTTTACACAATTGTTACCTGAAAAATGTGTGGATCAAAGTCATTTTAATTTCAACAGCCAGACAGTTTGGAATAGCAAAGGTAGATCTTCCAAATGAAAAAAAAGTCTTCCTCTCACTTCGCATGGTAAAGAATATTTGGAGAAGCAGATGGACAATTAGCGGTTGACGAGTGGATCAGTTAAGGAGGAAGCAGGAGCAACTTGAAATAAACACTGAATTAGCAGCATCTACAGCAACGTTAGCATTGTTGAATGCCTCAAATCATGGCGGTGTTTAAACTTCATATTCGGATGGAATGGAATCATATTTCATGAAAGGAGCTGCCTGTAATCGTTATGCTGAACAACACAAACCGATACAGCTACCTCCTGGAGAGTGTTCTGGCCAACTGTTGTGAAGGGGTTTTTCTTCACCAGGGAAATGATCCAGTTGTCTTCCATGGTCTTTTGGTGTTGCTGAGCTCACCAGTGCATTCTTTCTTCTTAAGAATGTTCCAGGTGATTTGGCCACATCTAATGTGTTTGCTATCTCTGTGATGGTTTTGTTTAGATTTTTGAGGCTAATGATGGCTTGCTTCACTAATAGTGACAGCTCTTTGGACTTCATATTGAGAGTTGACCGCAACAGATTCCAAACACAAATACCACATGTAAATTAACTCTAAACCTTTTTATCTACTCCTTGTAAATGAAATAACAAGGGAATTACACACACCTGCCCTTGGAACAGCTGACCAGCCAATTGTCCAATTACTTTTGGTCCCTTAAAAAGAGGGTGGCCACATTTGAATTTGTTGTAATTCCTACACCGTTTACCTGCTTTGGAAGTAAATACCCTCAAAGTAAATCTGAATGTCTGCACTTATGGCACATTCTCAATTGTGGTATACAGAGCCAAAATAATGAAAAATGTGTCAATGTCCAAATATTTATGGACCTCACTGTATGTGGACATAAACATTGGATGGCCTGCTGTTAAGCCAGAAGATATTAAAGGGCTACAGGCATATGCATTGTGTTCACGAGAATGTTGCAATGCTATGGAGGAATTGCAATATTTAGATGAATATGTCTGAATATGTCAGCAAACAGAAAAACAATTAAAGCTGCAAGTAGCGATGGACGGGTCCTCGCTACTCCGCATGTCGAGGCACTGTCCAGACGGCTATAGCCAAGAACCCCTGCGGCCATCGGACAAAGTGTCAAAGAGTCAGTGGTCGTTAACTATCTGATTAATTTCCGAAGAGCAGGGTATAAAATAAAAAAACATGTAACTTCCTGTTGCCACTAAGTGCCTGGACTGGAATTCAAAACTATATGGATGTCATGACACATGAGACATATAGGCAAAAGCCTCAATTAATTGAATAGAACTGAAAACCTAAACTCTTATGCATGATCACAGCACTTTAGAGTTAAAGAAAAAGGTACAAATGTTTCTCCAACTCCACACACACCAACAGCCACCCGTCTATCCATTACAGGAGTTTTTTTGAAAAGAGTTTTATTTACTCAATAATGAAATAAACATTTTACAGAACATGCCGTGGCCTATAAATTGGGTCAGCTAAACAGAACTAATGTCAGTCTAAAACAATTTGACATTGTTTGAAACTGAATTGCACTGAAAAGCCTAAACTGGCCCAAAAGTAAACTGGACACAAAGACAACAACCAACTATTACACCGAATATGCTGGCTTGCTGTGTAATTCACAATAGATGGAAAGAAAAGATTGACATAGGTTCTCAGGAACTGCCTGTGTTGGCTACAGCGCACAATATGGAAATAAATGTTTCATGTAATAAAAAAAAAGTATGTCCAGACTGATGTAGCACAATTACCTCTATGTGAACATTTGTTAAACTCGCTCATTTGTACATGCTTTACTATATATGTGTGACTCTCGTACATTTCTTGTGGACGTAGACTTCTATATTCAATGATAGAAAAGAAAACCTTCATTGTGTATTTCTTATTACTTTTTGAAATTAGAATAGTAACTATGTGGACAAAAACAGTGTTGACTGATTGGATTTCATATATTGTGATAATATAGACCGTATACATCATACAGAATCCTTACACTATGGTACACAACGATAAATGTGTGAAATAAACATGAGGCTTTGAGAATGAAAATTAAACTAATTCACAGGATTAGATTTCCAAAATTCCTTACCTTTTTGGCTGTAAAAGCCTTTTGTTCTCATTTATTTTTCCTGACTGTCAATTACAAGTGTTACTTTTGCCTGACCATGAAATGCAATACATTACTGTCCTCACTTCCTGTCATCCCCCCACTGTTGACTTTGTGTCAAGGTATATAGTATTTTCTAAAAAAAAGATATTGTATTATTTTTTTGAAAAGAACTGTTACTGGCACCACAATTAAATGTAAGCAACTGCCCTTAACAATAATATAGTCTAGAAGTACACAAGACTAGCAAGTACACTTTGATTATTTAGTGTAGTGTATATATATATATGTATTTTATTATCCAGTGTCAATGGCTTATAGAAACACAGCAAAATTGTATTTTATTGGTCAAGTCAAGCAAAATATTCACCAACGTACATGAAGTACATTCAAATCTCTGCAAAGACATGTATAGACGGAGTAATTTAGGTTTACTTAATTTGTCAGACAAAACGTGGATTTCTTTTTGTATGTCTTTCTCCCATCGTTACTGTAGTAAGCTGAGGTGCACGGTTTGGGTGAAACTCCAAAAATACAGATACAGACCAAGAAAGGCAATCAATGAAGCGGCTGTTTCGGATACATCGTCTACATTATGTTGTCTGGTCATGACTGATGTTACATGAAAAGACAACTAAGACTGGAACTTCCCCAAACGCAAATTTATTAACAGTCCTACTGAAAATTTATGTAAGAAATCTGACTCACAATATGGTTATTTACAAGATGTTAGCACTGAGTTTCTATGACATTTATGGAGACAACAGGTTACAGGTACATGCAATTTTGCGTAAGGGACCGCAGCATTTGAGTGACATAACGTACAATCAACATAACATATCAACCTATATAATAGATACTAACTTGCAAACTTTACATGAAATTCCACTGGAGTAACAATATAAATTGTAGGCCTGATCTATAATTCACATTAATAGTGGCCGGTCAATCAAGACTTGTCCGTTTTAAAATGTAGATAAGATAAAATATGTTGGGTTTTTTTAGCAGGAGGAATATATTTGGTATATTTTTGTATATTAAACTTGTAAAGAGAGAACATTGATTTTTATGTCAACCGTTTGGCTATTTGCACTGAGCGGAGATGAAAAAAATGTCACATTAGAGAATGGCATGTTAAATGAAAATTTATTGAAAGGGACAAGCCTCTTTTCTAATTCTGCCACATAAGTAATAACTAACACTGATACCAGTAATGTCATTTCAAAGTGTCAAAATCTGAGGAATTGTGTCAACATTGGAAATTTACGCATCACGTGATTTACAACAAATGGTGATTTTCAGTGCCGGAAGTAGTGGGTCCTTTATGCAACTATTCAAAAGGGTGTAAAGAATGGTAAGGGATGCCAGGTGGATGTCTCTTGAGGACAATAAGGCACACGTCAATTCTATTCCGTCATTGGCATGTGCCTAATATCTTCATCTTAAATCATCATCGTAACCACGATCTTTCTCTAACCATAGCAAACAAGCCGCTGTGCTCGGATATTGTGAAAAGCAAGAATTTGAAACTAATTGTTGCTAAAGATTTTTTAGGATTGTCTGGTGAGAAGGTTGGTTTACTCATGTTTTTGTGAAAAGCTACTCTTGAGCCATAATCCTGTTACATCCAACATTCATGGAAGTTCTGCGCCCAGGAGTTTCTCCATCCACTCAGTATGAAACAAAGCTGAAACAAGCCACTGTCAATCCAATTAAACCCTTTTCCATGTGCTTTGAATACAATTCTGCAACATATAGTCATGTATTATGAATTAGGCTGTAACATGTACCACACTAAAACTACTGCTGGCTGTAGGCCACAGGAATCCAGGCTCCTCTAGAGGCCTTTCTAGAACTAGAAAGGAGTGCCCAATAAAGCGGTCACTAAGTGTAGTTTAAGACTGCACAAAGTAAGTCACAAGTTACTGGTCATTGGTTTATTGTAGCCACCAACCCTAATTTCATAGTTAGTTTTTAAGTATAGTAACACTGTAAAAGTGGCATTCTGCCATTCAAGCATATCTTTGAGCTAGACATGCACACATAATTGTGTAGGATTACCATGTTGTGAAGTGAAGCCACACCTGCTCCCAGAGAAGGCTGTTGCAGCCCCTGCTCTCTTTAGGGTGATACCTGGTAGTTTCTCAGACAAGTGACTGGATAAGGAAGTGATCAAGAGTCTTGCTTAGAACACCTTTAGCACTTGTAGACTGAGCTACAGTGTGATCTCCTGGAGGTATGACATATGCACAGAACACACTGCTGAAGATGTCACAAATTTAAACTCAAATGAGATGACTCTGCACATACCGGCTAGGATTTCTACTGACTTCAGCTGTTATTGAAAAGTTAAGTGTGTCAGGAGAGAACGTGAAGGAGGCAGAGAGTGAGTGGAAGTACAAGCTGAGGATAAACGTGGCACTGATTGGAAAAACTAAAAACATACCTAAAAGAAAACAGAATGAATCAATGTTTCACTGGATAGGATTAAACACATTAAAAATGACCCACAGAGGTCAACTATTAGCAACTTTGAAATTTCCCAGTAGGCCAGAATGACAACTACTGGTACCAAGCCACATTGCAGACAAAGAATGTTAGAACAAAGCCAAGACACAAAGCTGTCAAGGGACCAAATGTGAGCCAAGAAAAAAAGGAAATGTGAAAGGGTTAGTCTTTACAGACAAGAGAATTCTGAAGTCTTGAGAAAGCAGGGTAGAAGCGGAAAGATTTTACACACCCTGGCATTTTTTATGTTGGTGTAATTAACTTGCATGTCAATCATTTATTCGAAACCTTTGTTTTAGTGATGAAAACTTTAACACCGAATGCAAAAACTAGTCAGGATCTGTGCAACACTTGTTTTTAAACAACGTCAATATTTCTGAGAGTTGGCGCTGTAGATAAAGGCATCAACAATTGAAGTTGTGCGGAAGTATGCAAAAATCAATGTTGTTACTCCTGGTGTGTATATGCCTATGGCCAAGTCCTATGTCTGTGCCTTTCTCTAACATACAAACTACTCTTATCATTGAGGTGATCCATTCTTTCTATCATGTACCTGAAAAACCTGGGGGAAAAAATAGTTTGATAATAAAAGGTACAACTCCCATTGGGAGTAACTTTTCAGCATTTTCCCTGTACTGAAAAGAGCTGTACTGAACAGGTTGTGAAAAGCATCTGGATGCTGCATTTGGATAACAGAAGTGTTTCAATGAGTAAATATACCACAAACAAGAAATGGGTTCAATTCAACGCACGCTATATTCAGCATTGTCCTCCTTAAAGAAAATTAAATCACCTTGCATGCTACACTTAAGGGTACCAAGACGATATCCATTAACCTTATCTCTCAAGAAGCCAATGCAGTGTTTAAAAAGTCCTTCAGTTCCTTTCAGGCACACACTAAAGGCCCCTGAAACAAGACCACCACATCTCACCCTATTTCCTGTCTAAGACACAGTGTCTTTGATAGCTCCTGGTGGGCTTCCTCCACTTGTGACCAAATTGCGGAGGAGTTTACGTCGACCAGCCTGGTAGTCCTCCTCGTCAACATTGACCAACAGTTTTATGGCTTCATGGCCAACAGCCTGTTTTAAGGAATCTGTGATAAAGACCCCTTTTAAAGCCTCTAGCAATGATCCATTGATATAGTCCCTCCAGAATGCATCCAAGTAGGTGAGCTCAGAAAACTTGATGTCACAGATGATGGAGCCCAAGTCTCTGGATTTGAGGATAGTGTTTGCCTGGTTGAAGCGCTCAAATTGTCTCTCCACTGCCTCCTGCTTATTGGAGAAGACATTGCCCTGAAGTGCAGACTCATGCTGGCAATATTCAGCACGAACCCGGAGGCGGATATCTAAAGAGGAGAGAAAAAATAAAGAAAAAGATCAGCCAAGACCCCTACACATTCAATACTTGAGTAGGACAATTTTAAACAACATGTCATGTCTGTATCTTTCATGCTGCACTTAAAAAAGTAATTCATGCATTCATCTTTTTCACAACTGTAACTCTCTCACTGGTATCAATCTGGTCTGGTCTCCAACTAGTCCAGAATGCAGCAGCTAGGCAACGGATCATAATGGACAACGACTCTTCTCTTTATTGGCTTGTCATGATTTTAATGATTACTTTTAAGCAAGCATGGACTGACCTCAAATATAGGCTGTGAAAAAGTAGTTGCCCCCTTCCTGGTTTCTTATTTTTTTGCACATTTGTCACACCTAAAATGTTTCAGATCAATTTTCAATAAGACTCATTTTAAATGACCAGTTTCTCATTGAAATGATCATAAATCATTAAGCTTACTAAAAAAAAAGACTTAAGTTTGAGGTATGTAAATGTTTTTTCAATTGGTCAAATTGTCTTGCCATTATTGTTTTTGAGGCCAGATAAAGGATGATCTCGCAAAATGTGTTTGCTTTTACCACATGTTTGCTTTTCTCTGCAGTCAACTGACGAATGACTTCTGCGTTTGCGGTTTTGGACAAGAGGAGTTGGCTTTGTTTGCGGAGGTCCAACATTGGATCCTGATGGGGAACAGCAAATTACTTGCTGAGGACCTAGAAAGTGACATTACATGTAATGTTAAGATACTTTGTATGACCAGCATTTTTTTTTGTGCAAAGAAAAATAAAGGAAAAATAACTTGAACAGACACACAAACCTGTTCTTCTGTGAGGCACAGTGTCCTTGCTCTGCACTGCTCCTCTTGGTGAAATGTAGCGAACTGATGTTTCTTCCAGGTACTTGTCAACAGGATCTGGGCAAACTGAAAACAGCGAAATTCTGATGTTATCAATAATTAAAGTAGTAATCATCCCATTCAAACCAGTGGCATGCATCAGAGGGAAATACAGGGAGACAATGTTGAAACATCGGTTTGTTTGTACCGCCATTGAATATCCTCCATAAAGTACATCTCAACATTTGAGCAATTATTTATATAAATGTTATTCATATCCAATTTTTGTACGAAACAATTTACTCTAATGTAACTTTTAACTGAATAAAAAGTACATTATTTCCCAAATAAGGTCTAAGCAATAAAAATGATGTCTCACACAAGTATTAACTTTATTATCACTTTGGGATTTTCTTAAATATAAAGTGCATTACAAATTAAATGCATTATTATTATTAACTTGAGTTTTGGCTGCTTACAGAAAACCGTTCTTTTGCTTTAACAACTTCTCACATGTACCAACTTTAGTCCCTCAAGATCGGTGTTCCCTAGCTAGAAGGTGTAAAAAAAGGCCATGATAAAGAAAGACAATGAGTGTCACTCAACTTTTTACTCCACACTATCATCTTACTATCGATCACATACAGTGCATCTGGAAAGTAGTCACAGCGCTTCACTTTTATTTATGTTATGGTACAGCCTTATTCAAAGCTGGATTAAAATATATTTTTTCTCAAAATTTCACAAACACACAATAATGACAAGAAAAAAACTTGATCAAATTTGTTAAAAATAAAGAACGAAACTATAACATGTACATAAGTGCTCAACACTTTGTTGAAGCACCTTTGGGGGTTACTACAGCCCAAGTCTTCTTGAGTATGACACTACAAGCTTGGAACACCAGTTTCTGGGCAGTTTCATTCTTCTAGCAGAACCTCTCTATCAGGTTGGATGGGAGCGTCGGTGCACAGCCATTTTCAGAGCTCTCCAGAGATGTTCAATCGGATTCAAGTCAGCGCTCTGGCTGGGCCACTCGAGGACATTCACAGAGTTGTCCCGAAGCCACTCCTTTGTTATCTTGGTTTTGTGCTTCGGGCCGTTGTCCTGTTGGAAGATGAACCGTCGCCCCAGTCTGAGGTCCAGAGCGCTCTGGCGCATGTTTTCATTGAGGATGTCTCTGTACATTGCTGCCTTTATTCTTTCCCTCAATCCTGACTAGTCTCCCAGTTCCTGCAGCTGAAAAACATTCCCACAGCATGATGCTGCCACCACCATGCTTCACTGTAGGGATGGTATGGGCCAGGTGATGGACATGGAGCTTGGCATTCGGACAAAGTTCAATCTTTGTTTTATCAAAGCAGAGAATTTAGTTTCTCATTGTCTGAGAGTCCTTCACTTGACTTTAGGCAAACTCCAGGTGGGATGTCATGTGCTTTTTACAAAGTAGTGGCTTCCGTCTGGCCACTCTATCATAAAGGACTGATTTGTGGAGTAATAAAGGTTATCCTTCTGGAAGGTTCTCCTCTCTTCATAGGGCAACGCTGGAGCTCAGTCAGATTGACTATTCGGTTCTTGGTCACCTCCCTGAGTAAGGCCCTTTTCCACCGATCACGAAGTTTGGCTAGGCGGCCAACTCTAGGAAGCGTCCTGCTGTTTTCGAACTGCTTCCATTTCTGGATGATGGAGGCCACTGTGCTCATTTTGACCTTCAAAGCTGTAGAAATCTTTCTGTACCCTTCTTCAGATTGGATCCATTATACAATTCTGTCTGAGGTACAGACAATTCCCAGGACTTTATGTCTTGGTTTGTGCTCTGACATGCAACTGTGGGACCTGATATAGACGGGTTTTGTCGCTTTCTAAATCATGTCCAATCAACTTAATATAGCAGGTGAACTCCAACGGAGTTGTAGAAACATTTCAAGGATGATCAGTGGAAACAGGGTGCACCCAAGCTCAATTTTGTGTCATGGCAAAGGCTGTGAATACTTATGTACATGTTATATTTTCAGTTTTTAATAGATTTGCAAACATTTCAAACTTTTTTCTCTCTAAGTCACCATGGGGTGTTGTTTGTCAAACTTTGAGGAAAAAAATGACTAACTCACTTAGGATTAAGCCTATAACATAATGTGGAAAAAGTGAAGCTCTGTAAATACAGATAGACGCACACACACACATGCACACGATAACTAATTAATCTTACATTTTGAAATTCATTAATCGCAATTAAAAGTTAGTTTTTCTTTTAAAGACCAAATCGTATGAATTAATGAGTAAGCACTTTTGAAAGTGTGTATTTTAGACGCTGTTGTTTAATTGTATTTTTTTTTAAACACAAAACCACACCCATTTGATCATCTTCAAGGCAGAAATCAAACAGGTGGAACATATTGAACAAGCAACTCTCTTGCTGTCCTTGTGCAGTTTGCTGCACGCTCAACTCTCCATCATTTAACGGCTGTGCCAATAGTCCCCCGATATTTAGCCAGAACGCTCTCCAAACTACTGTCTTTTAGGTAGTAGTCCTCTACAAACTGTGCGCTCGCGCATGATAGATTTTGAGATGGAAGTAGCCTAGCAGCTACCAACATATTCCGGGCACTATCAGTCCTAAAGTGGTCCATTTGCCATTTATTCCCCTTCTGTTTGACACTGCACAGTTCTCCTCTGTATATTGCGCCTCTGTTTGTTTTACTTCCAATGCAAAAAGCTCACTACATCTTCAGCTACTAACTGGTCTAACTGACTAGAGCACGCAGGGATTTGTGTCAGGAGTCCACACACACACCGCAATAAAACAATGCTGCGTTCATCGCATTAATCTCGACCACAATAATCTATGTAAAAATCTGTGTATATATATATATACGTATATATTAATTCTGAACAGGACACAAATAAATCAGTGAATAGACCATTTGGAAATTATGAAGCCCTGAAAAAAGTCTGCGACAGGTTGCTAAAGTGAATCATACATTGCTTTACCACAGACTTGTTTTGTAATATTCCAAAATCCTATTATCAAAAGGAACCCTTTTGCTAACTTCCAAGTTGGCTGATCAAAATCTTTCCTCCCCGCAACTTTTCATGAAAAAAACAATACATGACTTGTAGACATGAGTGGATCCCACAAACTGTAAATAAACCAAAATATCCATTAACTAAATATTTAAAGTCTGGTCTGACCATAGTGATGACCCAGCATTACTCACCAGCCTGCCGTTTCCTGAGTGTGACGTAAGGCAATAGGTCGTGGCGGGTTATAATCCGTAGAAGCTGGAGAACATGTCGGAAGTTGGTCTCATCACAGCGACCTTGACGCTCTAGGGCAAGCAAGAAATCTCGTCCACTCCTGATGCCACCACGCTCATATTCGTCAATCACGTCAACAAACAGGAATGACAGTACTCTGACATCCCGATGGGTTAGCTGGGCTCCAACTATGTCAAACATGCGATGAAGAGAGTAAAGTCCATGGGAATTGTCCACTGCTTCCTCAGGCCATGGCTCGAAGCCACCATTCCTTTTGGACAAGATAGAGTTGGTGCAGGAGGAAGGAATGTTTCTGTTGACCACTTCTCCACTTGCTGCTGCCACACCTGAGCAACCTGGCCTACCTGTCAGAGCTCTGTGATCCAGAGGCCCAGCAGTTGCACTACTTTGACTTGAGTCCAGCTGATTGGCCTGAATGTGAGGTTGGGCCTGATGAGCAGAGGAGTTCTGGGCAAGCTGGGGAGGACTAACAGCATTGGGAAGTTGTGGCTGCTGTGATGTCATCTCAGGACCAGACAATAAGGGGTGTTTGACTCCCCTCAATTATTGCCGTCTTCGTCTGCTCCAACTGATGAGCTGTGTACAGAGAGTGTTTGTGTGTGTTTTAGTATATAGCTCAACATTATTGTCTCTAAAAACAGGATAATAAAACATTGGATGTAAAGACCACGATACAACCATCAAACAAAGTTAAAGTTTTAAAGTTTAACCACACAGCTGGTAGTATATTGCACTAACTATTAAGAAGCCAACGTGGTTTCCGGCAGCAGAAATGCTAGAAACTTTAGCGGTAGAGTAGTAGAGGTCGCAGTATTAGTAAAAACATTCAATATCTGGGTAAGTTATTACTCAATCAAACGTATTTCAGGCTCAAGGTCCAGATAGTACAAAACATCAAATAGAATTAAAAAAAAAAGACAAAAAAACATACAAAATCAGAAGCAAAGTACATAGATCTACGAATGCCTTATGACAGCTGTACCCACGTCTCCTTAGCTGGGACTGGTAGTGCTAAACTTTATGTTTGATAAACCCAAGATGATTTAATTTTCAGAGATATTAACTCGGCAGATAAAAAGGTATACATAATAAGCTTTAACTCCCGCAGCCAAACATTTCACTGGCACTACACCATCTCGGTCTCTTGAGTAATATTCTCATGGCATCATTATAAACTACTTGGAGTATCTGTAGGCTGGCTTTTTTTGTAATTGGACCACACGTGTGCATTTTACAGTGGTGTATAATATGCTCTAAACAGATATCTTCACTCCATCTGTACACATGCTAAACTTGGATGAGAGAAAGTTTGCTTGTGCATACATCCTACGGCATTGCCTATAGATATCTTCATCATAGGTGATCTGTTCTGAAATAAAATGTCCAAGATATTTTACCTTAGCACTTAGCACAGAGGTAATTTGAAGCCAGGGAATGTAGTTACCAGCACTGATTTGGAGTTAAAGAACGAACTTTAAACTTTTAAGTAATTATTGTCACAAACGGAGTCACTGGAAAGTGGACTGTCAATAGAAACTTTTGCCTAGAAATATATTATTCCAATTATAAAGACATGCCAACACATATTTCAAATGTAAAGTACACTAAACAGTATACATATGAATAGATTGATTTCTTTATTTTTAATAGGTAGATCTCCATGACTTGATTGCTTGAAAAGTAGTTTGCGAGGCAAAAAGGTGAGGGCACCCCTGCTGTATTCTATAACCAGGCTCAGAAAAAAAAAACGTCTTTCTCCCGTCTCGCAAGCGAGGAAAATCAACTTTCGCGAGCGAGCAAGTTGCTCGAGACTTTTGCTGGTGAATGTTTGATTTGTGTGCACGCATGGACCCAATTTGCGCTCTTGATTTTGACATTGATTTGCATTCATAAATAATACCCATGACTACTAGCAAACTACTGACGGTTTGAATTCAATTTCTAACTGAACAAATGTTCATGACTTAATGAAGTTAAGCAAAGTCATAGCACTTCTGTTTATGTTATAAAAGAGTAAAAGTTTGAAGCCGATTGAACCGGCTATTTTTGTAATATTTAAAAAGAAAAGCATCCCTCTACTAAAAGAGCTGAATATTTTCATACCTGAATGTTGTAATGCCAGCAGCTATAGGCTGTTGACAATTAGTTGTCAATGGAAAATATTTAGTATGGCGCTAATGCCTATGACAAAATGGTCTTTAAAGACACTTTTGTGATAATTGTCAAGGCTTAGGCCCAATATGGTATTAAGGTTGAGCTGGCTGATTAAAGTTGATTAAAGTTAGCTGGCTAATTTAGCTTAATTAAATCCGTAAATATTAAACTTGATTTATATACCATATGATTTATAAGTATTTAATATAATAACGTTACATTTGTTGTAATTAATGTTTCCTCATAGGCTGAGGAATTGCAGAGGCTAGTTGCATCATCGGAATAGGTTTCTGCCAGTTTCTTTCACAGGGGCAAAGAATCATTTTTATCGGGTATGGAATTCATGTACCGTTAGCTGCCAGCTAAATAGGTACACTATGCTGCTAACATCATTGTCACAGGACCAAGCCCAGCCACTGAAAACCATGTGTTAATGACAATATAAACATCTAAACACATCTCTGCAGTTAAAATGTTAGAATGTTTGTGTTTTTATGAATTAGGTTTGGATTTCTTTCAAGTACACATCAATACAGTACTCATTATGTACGACTTATTGTACGATGAATTATTGTCTTTAATAGTTAATGTCATGGGAATACTAGGAGGTATCCATCTAGTGAAGTTCGGTAAGCAAGGGGAGTAGGTGCTCAAAGGAACTTCATTGACTGTAGAGCACTTTTCTAGTCTACCAACCATAGCAAATGTCATTCCTCAGCCATTCACTGATAACGGGAGCTCCCATGCAACTTGCCACATAGACTATGTAACATCCATACCACACACAAAGTTCACACTATGTACGCAGCGAAGTGTCACGCCCAAGACACATCGACATTAAGCAACAATCATCTCATTGAAAGTCAACCTACAAGAACCCCATACCACCACATTTCTAAACTTAACATTAGTGGGGCAACAGATCACAAAAGTCACAGTTTGAGTCACTTCATCCAGACCAACAATTCGATCAGGAAAAAAGGGAGGAAATATAACATTAAGAACACCCCAGTTATGATTACTTTGCCGCTCATGCTAATTGCAGATATTTAATGATACATATGAACAGATCCAGATCCCTTTGCGATTTGATTATTGTAGCTGGTCTACAAGACTCCAGACATATTTTCTTATACAACCATCCCAAAAATATTCTGCTCTGGCCAGATGTGGCATAACGGAGATTATATATATATATATATATATATAATTAGTGTAACGGACTGACACGTTATGCAAGTGAGGTTACACATTTACTGAGGTTAGAAGGTCAGTGAAGGGCTCACGTTGCGTGTGTCAATCATCCTATCGGGAGTTGTTGTGGCGATGTTTGTAGGTGGGTTGGGGGAACGGAAAGCGGGAGCGTTGTAGGAGCTCATGTGATTGAGGAAAGGTTGGTTTGCCTCAACGTGCTATGGCCCACAGCAGCCGGTTCCCTTGTTCATAATACAATCTTAAGAAGAACGTGTTGTCCAGAGCTTCATTAGCAAGAGTCGGTACAATATATACGTATAACGTTATATAAAAATAAACAAGCTCGCAACAAATGTTAGCTTACCTAATGATCGTAGCCTAGGGGAAGCTAATTAGGAACATTAACTTAAAAAGTAAAAGCAGACGCAGATATTGAAATGCGGTCACTGGCGGTACAAACTGGGCTCAGGTCAGCGTCATGCTACTTGCGACTATTTACTTCAGAATGCGCAACATCACAGTACATCTGAACATAGCAACATACCCTGGATTTTCGTATTGGTGTGTTGTGTTTACTGGCTGCGATAACATAACCCAGCATACGTTGTAGTTAGATAGAGCCAAGTAAAGTAGTCAGAAAGGAGAATCATTATCGAACGATGGCTTTACATTACCTCCGATTTTTGGGGGGTTGTTCTTGAAGTATCTGTCGGTATCCGTTCGGTTGTCAGCTAACGCAAAGTTAGCTTCTCAGTGCCTGATAGCAGAGAAAAGCTTCTTTCAGGGCCGAAAAGTTGCGCTTGGTTATTATGACAGAGTACAATATAAATGCTTAACATATAACGCTAACATTGCTTATTCCAGGTCAGCCAGGAAAGTTCGTTTAATGGTTATGGTCCTCAGACGCACATAGTGGATAACCATAGGCAAGTTTCGTTCTTCAGCTAAAATGAAAGACCTTCCAGTTCAGCGTTTAGTTCACTTCCGGTGTTCCTTTTCTTCTTCTTCGTGTATACTCTGGTAGTGTAGACAGTTTGAAGCGTCTACACTGCCCTCCGCAGGATACACAGTCAACTGATGAGTCACACATCAGCTGTGTCTCAAAGTCACTAGGCTGCATCCTTGTAGCCTCCAGCCTTCACCAGCCTTCAGCAGCCTTCGCGGTTGACCTGGGCTGGGTCCTCCAACAACCGCATAGGCTGAACTGAACGGTCTCTGAAACACTCTGGCCTAACAATAAAAGCCTTAGAACCCGGAAAACTTGTCAATGTGTGTGTCAATACACACACCTCGTTCTCCTTCAGCTCGATGCTTCCTCCTGGCTCCATAAAACACAATTAAATGTAAAGTTAGTTTATAATCACACCACAAAACAAAAGGAGCAAAGCAAGTTCAGTGTTTTTGTGTATTTATTCTGTATCACTGACTTGAGTGATTTCAGGCTCATAACTTGTCTACATGTGCTCACTTTGATCCACTTGATCCCCTTCTGGATAAACTATAAATATAAACTATGTATAAAACCGTCACAGCGTCAACCTTTGAAGTGTGAAAGTCATTAAAGTGACTCTTCACTAATAACTACAGGCGGATGCGGGCAGACAAGCTGCCGTTAAAGGATAGATCAGATGGCCGCAAAGGATAGATCAGATGTATCCTCGGCTCTTGGAGGGCTGTGTCCCTCGACTGTGTTCGGAAGAGCCGACATATTGGGACAGGCAAGTCGCAGCGGAAGTAATGCATGCGGTCGATGAATGCGTCCTTAAGGATGCAGCCTACCGACTTTGAGAGACGGCCATCATATCATCACATCCTGCCCTGATTCACACAGCAACTAAAAGACTGCTTTGAGATGGATGGTGATGGTGGTTCTCATTTGTGGCCACATTTTCTGATGGAAAATATTTTCCAATTAGTGGTTGAGCCCCACAGGTCCAATTCACATTTTTGGTTACACTTTTTTGTGGGGCCGGGGAGGTTTTTTGAGGGGGGGGGGGGGGGGGGGGGGCACAGGGGACATGTCCCCTGTACTTTTTCAAAAGCCCATTTTGGTCCCCTGCTGTTTTTACCGCCAAAAAACAATGTTACGCTATGATAAAAAGATACATGTCAAGCACTAGGACCAAGCGGAAAAACGGCCGCTCAAGTTGAAGCCTGTTTCCCTTAGTTTACCGCCCACAATGATTGGCCGTCCCCGCTGTCACTTCATCAGGTTGTAAACCGGTCTAATAGTTGCAGAGGACTCGAGGAGTCAACAAATCCTTGCAAAAGCGAACCATCACAGTTGCAGGCATGCAGGCTGCAGTACATTATGTGAAGACAGCTCTGCAAGAGAAAAGAAAAGAGGGAACATTCCAACAGATCTTTGACAGTGCAACAGAGCTCGTCGCCTCACTAAATATCAGCCCAATTGAAATGCCTCCTATCCGCAGGCCACCGAAACGCCTAGCTGGTGAAGCTGCAGCACATGACCCAGGAGCTTCTGTTGATTACTTCAGAAGGGAGTTCTTTAAGATGCTTGACACAGCAGATGTGCAATTGAAATCAAAATGTTGTCCCTGTGTGTGTTTTTTAGAGTCATCTTTAAATAACTGGTCAGTGTAACTCCAACTATCCAGCCAAGTAGATGGATTAATTAGAAAGTTGGTCGAAGTCTCGGCCTTACATATAGAAGTGGTTATTGGTAAAACAGGATAAGACGCAAGAGCAGTAGTACAGTAGGCCACAAGGCCCATGTATGTGTGTGCAAACACACTGGAGGTCAAGTGGGTAATTAGCTAAGAGGAAAAGTGAGAGAGGGAGTACATAAAGGGAATCTTCCAGGCTAAGAGACTAAAAGGCAGCCAGCAGTGTTAACCTCGGAAGAACAGTGAAGTAGTAGTAACAATAGTACAGGAGACATCGGAAAAACCTTTGTATTACCCACTTAGAGGATGGGGGTCCAAGGAGGCGTCCTCCCCCAATGTGATGTGCAATAAATGCAACAACTAAAGTGTTGTTCGATCGCCTCGTCAGAGTCGTTCCGGAAAGACCTTTTATCAAACCAAGTATGTGCTTTTCCATAAATATCTATGAATTAAAAGATCTGAATCTCCAGTCAGAGAGATAAAGACAACTAGTTAGAGAGTAGTCCAATAATTGTTATAACTGTAAGAAATCAACAACAGTAATGTTTTCTATTTTTTTAGATATTATTTTACCCACTTGTATTTGTATTATTTTTATTAGAAGATTTTAAACTTTTTTTATTGCATTTTTCTGCTGCTAAAACATTTTTTAGATTTTAGTTAAACATTTTATAACCAAAGTAAAACCAAAGCAAATGTTTTATTACACTGTAACTGTATTCTTAGTTAGATCCCTTTAATTTGTTTTACTTGGACGGGCGGTGTTTCCCCTGTAACTTCTCGTAAGGCGGAAAAACACTTCTGGCGAGATCTTCTAGTGGAAAGTGTATGAAACTCAGGACCCCGGCTTGCGCGAGTCGTGGCAACTGTCTCGAGTTTATGACAGCTGCCACGAGTTTACGGCATTTGTGGTGAGTGGTGCCACGAGTTCAGGAACCGCTCCCTCGGTCGAGAGAGGTACCTCGAGTTAAGGGAGCGATGCCACGACCTAAGGGAGCAGTGCCTCGGTCGATACAGGTACCTGAGTTTACGGGAGAGGTACCACGACTGCTGGGAGGAGTGTCACGAGTTCAGGGACCGGTCCCTTGTTCGAGAGAGGTACTTCGAGTTAAAGAAGCGTTGCCACAACCTCGGCTGATGGAGGTACCTGGAGTATAAGGGAGAGGTGCCACGACTTAAGGGAGCGTTGCCATGGAGGGTGAGGGTGCTGCAATTGTTTGGAAGAAGTGCCGCGGAAGTTTCCGTTACTTAGTAACTTAGTATTGGTATTTCAACAATGTGTGACAGTATAATACAGTTTAAGTATTACTGTAATATGCAAGTTGAGTTGCTGCAGTGAGTCGTGACAGCTGCCAGCTGCCTTGACTTACGGCAATGGTGCCTCGACTATTGCTGTTTTCCTTTCATATATTGACAATACTATACGGTCCTTAAGAGTATGAGTGTTGTTAGTTGTTATTGGTCTAGTTATTTAATGCCGGTAAGTGATACAATGGCTCTCCGTTTAAGTTCAGCTAAGCTAATACGGGCTAAGACCAGTTTTCACTTGATGCCTTGGTTACAATAAATATCTGCAGGAAGTGCCTCGAAGGAATCCATCCATCCATCCATCCATCTTCAACCGCTTATCCGGGGGCGGGTCGCGGGGGCAACAGCTCCAGCAGGGGACCCCAAACTTCCCTTTCCTAGGCCACATTGACCAGCTCTGACTGGGGGATCCCAAGGCGTTCCCAGGCCAGTGCAGAATTTTTATCTCTCCACCTACACTGTAAAATCTAATTAGTTGACCATACTTTAAAAAAGTATGCAAACTCGTTGCCTCAAAGAAATTAAGCTAAGTAGTCTTAAGATTAGTGAGTTAGAAAAGCTTGTTCATTTTAAGTGTGCAGTACTAAATCAAGTAGTACAACTAAAACAAAAAAATTAAGTTCATGTAGCTTAATAACAATGCTTAGTGTTAACTTAATTTTTTCATTTTGTGTGGACTGCTTGACACAAATTTAACCCCACTTCGAATTACTAAATACCTACAACTTACTACTCACTCATTTTTCGAGTTCACTTAAATTAAACAAACTAATTTACTTGAATGGGTCCTTGTCCCTTTTCTCTCTCTCCCCTAGTTCTTATCTATTTTTAGCTGTTGTTACCTAATAAAGGCAAAAACACCAAAACAATATACTTTAAAAGAACACTCACTGGGTTGATTCAGATGCATTACATTTATTAAAAAAAAAAAATTGCATCATTTACAGATCTAGGCTGAACAAAAAACATTTGACATTGTTATTACTTCTGATTCCAATTCTCCAACATAAAATTGACTCATGTAATAACCTTACAATAATCAATAAAATTACTATTATTCAGCGGTGTTCTGTTCCCAAGAATCTAAACAGCAGACAAATAACTTATAACTTGTGGTTTGATTAGACTGTGTACCATGACATGGACGAGTAGAAAATAAATCCACATTTTTGTGAACTAATTCGTAACAGTCTCACAATATTAAACAGGTAAACACCTGATAACTACAGGACTTCAGTGGCACTATTTCCTCCATTAGCATACCAGCATAACATGGTACAGACTTGAATGGATTTTTTTTTTAAATTAAGATAAACAAGTTGCATGAAAGCATCAAACTTTAACTAATAACAGGAGAACATTATTATAACTTTTAAATTGCTGACAGCTGATTTAGTTCTTTACTAGTCTAATCCAGGAGACTGTTCTTCAGAGTTAAGTTTTGGTGGGAGGTTTTTCTTTCCCAGTCCAAGCATCACAGTCTGAATGAAGTTGAGTGTCTTTGCAAAGCATTTTGGGTAATCCAAATGCAAAGCATATGTAAGCCCAAATAACAGACAAACTGCCTGAGGCAAGTTTTTAATGTGATCCATGACGATACCTCCCTCCAGAATGATGGCAGTTGAGATGGGCAGGAGGTCCACTGAACTTGCACCCTCGTGAGGACCATCTTCACTGACAACTGTCAACACACCAACAGTGATGCATTCTAGGGCCTCGTCTCTTGCTGTATCCTAGAGAGAGACACACACACACACACATTCGTCAGTATATTCTAAAACACTAATTTTTAGTGTTAAAAGCATTTGCTAGAGAATATGATTTTAAATATGTGTTCACATGGATTGTCCAACAAAATAAGTTTGGTATGGTTAAACTGAAGCTGGTGTCTACAAGGTCCATATATTCTTGAACAGTGACACCGACCTTTTAACCTAGACTTCTGCTCCTTAGATTTAAAATTAATTAATGTACATGTTTATGTACGGGCTGTTTAAATACCTCTCATATTATTATACAAAATGTATGTTGTATATTGTATATATTATATCAAAATTCCTTTGAGGAAAACAGAGCGAAGGACTGTCACGTCTGGTGTCTAATGATACTGAGAGAGAGAAAAGACCAGTTAACTGAGTTATTTGGCACACGCACAGGTCAGACAGAAAATAGAACAGGTTGGTCTGGATCATCTCATTAAGAACTTGATTGATGAAGTATCATACAGATCAAAAGCAAAATTAACCTACTTACCATTCAGCTCATGTGCTGCATCAGCTCACTGAGTTTCCGGCCAACAGTTCCTTTTTTTGTTTTGAAAATGTCTATGAGCCGCACTGCGCTACTGTGGGCGCGGTACACGTGGTACAATGGAAAGTGAGCTAAATAAATTGGGGGTTAGATAAAATAGGGTTAAATAAAATAACATTAAGTTAGTTGACTGTGGTGATATCCCCAGTCACCCACTGTCTTTGACAAACACAGACTGCTTTTTTGGTGGCTAAATTTAGCTAAGTTAGCATAGTGCCAAACCTAGCAGCCTAGCTTAAACTAAAATGATATATCAAGACTTGCTCTGGTGTTCTGCCATGTGAATGTCCTCCTGTTCATGGAAACTCACAAACCGGCCGAATCAGTCTCTCATCGTGAGTCTGTACTCAATAAATCATTGGTCTCAGAAAAAAAAATCATCTCCGACAGAAGGTGTGTTCATGCACGTGACGAGCACGCCGGCGACCGTTACACTAACGTTTCTCCTCAACTTTAACGTGACAGTCTTTAACCCTCCTGTTGTCCTCGGGTCATACATTTCCATGTAAGCTGTACAAAAAAAAGATACAAAGATGGTCTTCGGGTCAAAATGACCCATGAGGCAAATATGAGTTGAAATCAAGGTCAGAGAGTTAATTACACACCACAGAATGTTACAATGTTTTAGTTGTGTCTCAGATAGACAAATCAGGTGGTCTTCTCGCTGACTGCTGTGCCTTTGATCAGTCTCAGATCAATTAATAGTAAACGTGAACAAGACAGTAGCAGAAGTAAACAACACAAACAGGTGCCGTTCTCGCAGACTGCAGAGCTTTTTTTCTGTGGATTTGCAGAGGTTATAAAAGTGCTGCAGATGACACTACCCTGAATTCTCTCTGTGCTGAAGCCATGAGTGTGCGTTACAGCGTTAAAGAGGCTTTAGAGCTGATTTTTGTCCAGCAAGACAACTCTGATTCAGAAGAAGAAGATGGGGAGGAATACAACCCAGAGCATGATGAATCATCTTCAGAAGAAGAAGAAAACCCTGAAGCTGAAAGAGAGACTTTCCTTTCAAAAAATGGAAAAATAACATGGTCCTCAGCAGCATATGACCAACACGGCAGGCATGCAGCACAAAACGTCATAAAGAAGACCCCAGGATCCACAAGGTACGCCGTTTCCCATGTCAATGACATGGTCTCTACATTCTACCTGTTTATCACACCAGCAATAGAAAAAATAATCCTGGAGATGACAAATCTGGAGGGTTTTCGCAAATATGGAGACAGCTGGAAAAAGATGGATGAGACTGACCTGCAGGCCTACATAGGGCTGCTAATCTTAGCAGGTGTATACAGGTCCCGAGGTGAGGCTGCAGCTAGTCTATGGGATGCAGAGAGTGGAAGGCCAATTTTCCGAGCCACAATGCCACTCAAACTCTTTCACACCTACTCAAGACAGCTACGATTTGATGACCGTGAGTCAAGACCAGCAAGACGTGTGACAGACAAACTTGCAGCCATTAGAGAGGTCTGGGACAAGTGGGTGGAGCGGCTGCCCTACCTCTACAATCCAGGGCCTGACGTAACAGTGGATGAGCAACTGGTTCCATTTAGAGGTAATCTATTTTCATATTTGTAATAAAAGTGATTTTCACTATTGATTTCTTTGACTGTTTTCTGTGACACTGATACTAATCACTGATGCTAATGTCTTCTGTCAAAAGGTCGTTGTCCTTTCCGGCAGTATATGCCCAGCAAGCCAGCAAAATATGGGATCAAGTCATGGGTGGCTTGCGATGCCAAATCAAGCTATGCTTGGAAAATGCAAATCTATACCGGGAAGCCGACAAGTGGATGCCCAGAGAAGAACCAGGGGATGCGAGTTGTGCTTGATGTTACAGAGGGACTGAGGGGGTCACAATGTGACATGTGACAATTTCTTCACCTCTCATGAACTTGGACAGCAGCTCCTGAAGAGGAAGATCACCATGGTTGGTACAGTTCGAAAGAACAAGCCTGAGCTCCCACCTGCACTGCTTGCAACAAAGGAGAGAGAGGTCTTCTCATCAAAGTTTGCCTTCACTCCCACCACCCCTCTAGTTTCTTACCTCCCAAAGAAAAACAAGAATGTAGTTCTTCTGAGCACACTGCACACAGACGGTGACATTAGCGATCGTGAGGACAGGAAGCCAGTCATCATGCTGGACTACAACCGCAACAAAGGAGGTGTGGACAACCTGGATAAGGTGATTGGAACATACAGCTGCAGAAGGATGACTGCCCGCTGGCCACTGGTCATCTTCCACGACATCATTGATGTTTCCTCCTACAATGCCTTTGTGATTTGGAGAGAGATCAACCCGACCTGGATGTCTCGTAAGCAGAACAAGAGGAGGGTGTTCCTGGAGCAGTCAGGAAAGGCACTTGTAACTCAACTCATTGAAAGAAGGAAGCATGTCCCCCGCACAGAAGCCTCAGCAGCAGTTGTGAAAGCTATTCAGAGTGCAGGAGCTCCTGATCAACCTGAGGATCCAGCTACCACAGCAACTTCCCCAGCTAGGGCAAGTAAGAGGAAGAGATGTCAGTTCTGCCCTCAAAAGAAGGACTGTAAAACACATACTGTGTGCTACAGGTGTAAGAAATACATCTGCAAAGGCTGTGCACTTGCATACTGCCCTACATGTGCTAATTAGTTGAATGGGTTATGTTATTTTTCATATTTTTGTGTTGTACATTGTTTGAAATTGTTCACAAGAAAAAAAAAGAAACAGTCATTGGTGATGAATAAAAATTCATTCAAAACTTAATTTTTGCACATTTTTTTTTCTTACGCTATACAAATAAAATGAAGAGGGAAAATTCAGGTAGTCATACATTTTGTGATGAATTACAAGTTGTTTCTTCAAGCAAGATGAAAATTTGGTGTTGAAAATTCAATTGAGATGCTTATATGGGGGGTTTAGTGAAGACGGGTCATTTTGACCCGGAGGACACGGGGTGTATACAGGAAATGAGGACAACACAAGGGTTAATGTTCCCTATTTACAACACTGATGAAGAAATATAGAATAATAATAAAGTATTGACTTAAGCTTCATCCAACGTTACCAACTAGCGTTAGCCGACATTACTAAACAAGAGTCAAATATTACTCACCAAATGAGCGTGTCAAGCACAAGAATGCTGATAAACGGTGCAAAGTGCCGGTGCAGAGATTAGGTGCAGCTCATATGGTCCAGCTCCTCCAATAAGTTCAGCTCCACGTTGTTCGTTGCAGGCACGGACCATCAAGTGGAGAGAGAACGGATTTGCGCCGATAGTTTGGAAAAAAAAAAAAGCAAAAACCACTTTGTGAAACTACTGTTACAATACAAGTACACGTCCTGCAGTGAAAATTTCAATTAAGTAAAAACATATGACCACAAAAAGAAATACTTGAACTATTAAAAGTAAAAAGTACCATACTCAATAGAGGAAAATGGCTCTTGTGGTTATAATTATTATATATCACCTATATTATTACATATGCAATGATGTAAATGAGTGACGTTACAAGTACAATTTAAGTGCTAATTTGTCTGAAGAGGTGTGTCTTTAGTTTGCGGCGGAAGATGTGAAGGCTCTCTGCGGTCCTGATGTCTTCAGAGAGCTCGTTCCACCATTTCGGCGCAAGGACAGCGAAGAGTCGAGACCTAGTCGAGTGTTTTGCTCTCAGTGAGGGAGGGACGAGTAGTTTTGCAGATGCAGAGCGGAGAGTGCGGGTTGGGATGTAGGGTTTGACCATGTCCTGGATGTAAGCTGGACCCGATCCATTCACAGCATGGTACGTGAGCACCAATGTTTTGAACTGGATGCGGGCGGCCACCGGTAGCCAGTGAAGAGAGCGGAGGAGTGGAGTAGTGTGGGAGAATTTTGGAAGGTTGAAGACCAGTCGAGCTGCTGCATTCTGAATGAGCTGCAGAGGTCGAATGGCGGTGGCAGGGAGACCTGCCAGGAGGGAGTTGCAGTAGTCCAGGCGGGAGATGACAAGAGCCTGAATCAGTACCTGCGCTGCCTTCTGAGTGAGAAGGGGACGTATTCTCCTGATGTTGTAGAGCGTGTATCTACAGGATCGCGTTGTCGCGGCGATGTTGGGAGTCAGGGAGAGTTGGCTGTCGAGTGTGACGCCGAGGTTCTTAGCGGTCAAAGTGGGCGTTAGCACGGAGAAAAAGGACTGTGGGAGTCTCTTGGTGGTTCCCCCATATGGAGAGACTCACCGGCCGGGTGGATAGACGGACCTTGGATATGACACTACCGTCCAGGGCAAACACCGCCGTGGAGTCTTCAAGGTCAGCCAGTGGTATGCCATGTTCCCGTGCCCACTGCTCATCGATGAAACTGGCCTCCGCCCCGGAGTCGATGAGGGCCAGACAGGATGCTGCACCGCCCGACCACCGAAGAGTTACCGGGAATGTAGTGCGAGACTTAACTCTGGATCTGGGGGAGAGGGTAGTCGCGCTCGCCAGCAATCCCCTGGTCACTGGCGAGCTCTGGCTTTTACTGCGCAGGTGGAAACAAAGTGGGTACTCGAGCCACAGTAAAGGCAGAGACGATTGGCAATTCTTCGCTGTCGCTCGGTAGCCGAGATGCGGATACCACCAAGTTGCATGGGCTCAGTCTCCGGCTCGACTCTTGCTGGGACAGAGAAGGTGGGCGGGGAGACCGGTTGTTCCTCTCTCCAACCTCGAGCGTGGCGGCGCATTTCCAAGCGCTTCTCGAGACGGATAGCGAGCTCCACCAACTGGTCGAACCGATCAGGAATCTCACGGGCATATATCTCCTCCTTAAGGGCAGAGTTAAGACCCTCCAAGAAGTGAGCAACCAGGGCTGGTTCGTTCCAGCCAGATGAGATGGCCAAAGTACGAAACTCAATGGTGTAATCTGTAACTGGACGTCTACCCTGTCGAAGCACGGCGAGGGCTCGAGGGCCGTGGACGGATCAGTCGAACACCTTGATCATCTCCTCCTTAAATAACTCAAAGCGCTCAGTCAGATCCGAATCCATTCCCCAGACGGCAGTTCCCCACTCGCGCGCCCTCCCCTTCAACATGGAGATAACGAAAGCGATGCGCGCGGAATCACGTGCATAGGTGGTTGGCTGCAGGGAAAAAACGACCTCACACTGCGTGATGAAAGAGCGGCACTCAGTAGATTCACCGGCATAGCACGGGGGATTGTTGATCCGGGGTTCAGCAGAACCTCCGCGAACACTGGGGGCCTCCAGCTGGAACAGGAGCCGTGATGACAGGTCTGAAACTTGGGCGGAGAGACTCTCCACCGCACGGCGTGTCTCGGAAATCTCCCCATCATGTCTTCCAAGAAGCGCTCCCTGGGCCTCGATCGCCGAGCGAAAAGGTGCCTCCTCCGCTGGGTCCATCTTGGTCAGAATGTTCTGTTACGTGGAGAACAGAGGACCCAGATGCAGAGGTGCGGAAAAATGTCTTTTATTCTTCCCAAATTCGAACTAAGGGGGCTGCCGTCAGCAGACGTAGTCCGGGACAAAACTTAAAGTAGATCTCGAAAAAAGACAACGCTGGAATGGTAACACAGGGACAAGGCAACAGCTCAGCGTTCAACAACAGTCTGACAGGGGAGTAGAGAAACAGTGGTTAGAAATAGTCAAACAAATTAAGCAGTGAGCAGAAACAGGTGAGTTGAACATCAGTGTGAGAGTTGATTGCTATGGAAAGCGGCTGTGGGCGTTTAGGGCGAGTGAAAGCATGAATGGGAATGAGGAGGTGTGTTAATGAGTATCAGCTGGGTGTGCGTGTGTGTGTAGAAAAACAAAACAAGGAGGAATCCGGATCATGACAGACTCGACCTTCTGAGACCTCCAAAGGTTAAGCAGGCCGTACAGACACAACAAAGAGCGCAGGTGGAGATGCGGAACAAAGCAAAGGACCAAAGCTTCAGAGCTGGAGAGAGAGTTCTTGTTCGGAACTACTGTAACGGTCCAAAGTGGGTACAAGCAACCGTGGTCGCTCAAACAGGTCCAGTGTCCTACACAGTCCAAACACTAGAGAACATCATCTGGAGGAGACATGTGGATCAACTGTTGCCAGGAACCAACATCAGTGATGACTCAGGTCAAATGACAAACCCAGAACAGCTACTGGAAGCCTTCCAGGGTTTTCAGCCATCATCTGAACATCCACTGCAGCAACACAAAGACAGGGAAAGTGTTCCCTCCTCACCTGAACCAGTGGGTGTGACGACTCAAGGTGCTGATGCACCGCAGCAGGGACCTACACCACCCTACAGGGCATCCATAAAAAAGAGGGAACCGGCACTGGATTCGGGGTATTTTGTTTGTGTCACGCAACGTCCATTAAAAGAACACGCATTACTTTTTCATGTCCGATCATTTTGTTGTATTTGTCGAGTCCGCTACACAACAGTTTGCAAAGCAGTTATCTCGACATGCAGCTGTACAATAACAAATGAACATCTTTGAGAGTCACTGTTTGTTGCTGTAATCAGTTTATATTTGTAATTATATGGCTACTTCTAAGTCATATGTGTTTATATGTGGGTGGGGAGTGAGTAGGTGCAAGTTTACGTAGTGGATTTACCTAAGCCTGACCCAGGGGCTCACCGGAGTCCACTGCTCGGCCCCCTCGCCGGAGGTCGGTGAGTCTCAATGAAGAAACTTTTCAAAAAACTTCAAACTCGGTTTTATTTACTTCAGGATTATAACAAGATACAGAGAAAAGGATAATAAAATGTCGAACAAAACTAGAAAAAACTAGAGAGTCCGGAGATCTTAATCTACAGCTTCTCTATCATGATCCAGCAAAAAGATCCAAGAACCAAGAACCCCAAAACAACTGTTCTCCGGTCAAACTCTCCCTTTTATGAAACAGAAAGTCCGGAGATTCACGCAAGCCCCCAAAAAGCACAAAGAAGTAAAAAACCCTCATGGCCTCTGAGGCCATAAATCACTCCTATCCAGTATCTACCTGCACTTGGGCCTCACATCTGCTCGTAGAACTGCTGTCACTTCTGTCCATTACACCAACATATATATATTTTGCGTTGTACAGTTTTAGATGACATGCACATAAAAAATAAGAAAAACCAAGAACACCTGCACATTCATTATATAAGTGTGTCAATAAGGATGACTTTATACCTCTTATAATACCTAGGTTAAGCCTAGGTAAATTTACAGAGCATCTCTTTTATGTTCTCCATAATATCAAAAAGTATTTGGTCCTACTTATAACATTATTACATAGGCATTTCGGATTTATGTATCCCCTTTTCTCATCCTGAACCTTTAACAGTTCTTCATCCTTAAAAAGCCATATAACATTATCAATTTTGCATATCCTCTCTTGCTATCCTCTCAACAACACATTGACGAGTGCAATTGCCATCACCTTGAATAATCTTAACCTGGTTCCCTTCTCTGCCTCTGCTGTGTATGCAGATTTTCTTTCTTTTTTTAGCCCCCTTTGAGATTGTGGGCACACGTATTGCCCTTAGCTGTAAATATTTACAATGCCCCGACCCTTAAGTACATTTTCTATAAGTTATGGCATATAAATACAATTTTGCACTCATAGTGTTGCTTTCAGACTTCCTTGTGAAGAAGGCTCAACTCTGGCCTGAGGTCCGTTCACAACATAAGGCCATTTCTCACACACAAGTGCATTTCTTTACAAATAAAAGAACACTATTTCCAAGTTTTTACAAAAGTATCTTAATCCATTGGGATACTTTTGCACATGAAGTTGGGGAATTCATTCAAATCTGATTAGATTTCTCTATTTTGGATGCATTCTTCTGTTGTACTTCAGATCCCGTCTTGTTCTGGATCGCAGAGTGGATCTTTCTTAGGTTCTGCCGGACTCGAAGAAACTCCATTAATTGGGCTTCTTCTCCTACTTTTTCCTCTCGCTCCCTCTGACAAGAGAAAATGAGAATCATTGGCACCTCCCCGTCATTTAAAGAAGGCGAAAAATATTACAAATTAAATTTTGTGAGCCACTTAATGGACCAAAAGGTCTCTTTTACATTACGTTTTTGACAATTATGCTCTACCGTGACTGTATACTATAATTATTGTGTTATCGATTCAACCCCTCACAGATATTTTAAGGACCATTTCATTTCCATTATGTAAACAATATATACATATATTTTCCCAATTTTTCCGTTTTTTATTGAAATTTAAGCAGATCAAGTTCAGTGAACAATCTGAGGTACTAAGGTAAGCTGCAAACTGTCAGAGGTTAAACAAAAAAGTTTAGGTTACCAAAAACTGAAAAATAATGTAGAGTTTCAGAGTTATAGAAAAATACCTTTTTCAGGGCAAAAGTAATGGGTTAACAACTCGGAAGTAAATTAAGGCAAGGCAAGGCAATTTTATTTGTATAGCGTTTTTCATACACAAGGCAGACTCAAAGTGCTTCACATCATAACATTTCATACAATAAAGTGAAATAAAATGCAGGAATTAAATTACAATACAATACAATTAAATACAGCAAATAAAATTATAAATTAAAATCTTATTTAAATTGTTTAATTAAAAGGCAGAGGTTAAAAGTGCAATGTAGGTCAAATTTAGCAGAAGGCAAAGCTCAACATAAAAGTTTTCAGTCTTATTTTAAACGTGGTCAGAGTTGGGGCAAGTCATAAATCTTCAGGAAGTTTATTCCAGCTGTTTGTTGCGGAGTAACTAAATGATGCTTTCCCATGATTTATATTTACTCTGGGAATCACTAACAGATTGGTGTCAGAAGATCTTAGTGATCTTGAAGGCTTATGTAGTGGAAGCATATCAGTGATATACTTTGGCCCTAAACCATGTAGTGATTTATATGTGAGCAGTAGGATTTTGAAATTAATTCTCTGACATACTGGGAGCCAATGTAAGGATTTAAGAATTGGTGTAATGTGCTCACATTTTTTGGTCTTTGTTAGAACTCTAGCAGCAGCGTTCTGAACAAGCTGGAGCTGCCTGACAGTTTTTTTTGGAAGACCTGCAAGGAGAGCATTACAATAGTCTAGCCTACTAGTTATAAAGGCATGTACAAGTGTTTCTAAGTCTTGAGCTGACATGAGCCCTCTAAGTTGTGCTACATTTTTGAGGTGGTAGTAGGCCGATTTTGTTACTGATTTGATGTGACTCTCCAAGTGTAAATCTGAATCCATAATAACCCCCAGATTTCTGGCTTTATTTGATGTTTTCAGGGACAGAGAGTGAAGGTGTTGGGTTACTTTAAACCTTTCTTTTGTAGCCTTAATTAAGTCTATTAATTCCTATACGTGTCTCAACTTTTGTTGATTACTTAAAAACCCTTGGGCTTTATAAAAGCAGTGTCAGAAAAGACTGTTACTACACCCTCGTAAGCATTATTTGGACAGTATTGTAGTGCAGGAAGTAGTATATTGCTCTCAAAAAAGCGAGAAAAAGGCAATTAACAAAGGAAGACAGACCATTTTAAGGGTTAACATTATAACCCTTAAAAGTGTAGATTTTCCTTTATAGAAATTGCAAAGAAAGTCAAGGTGTCAGTGAGTACTGTTTCCTGCACAATCAAAAGGCATTTGGAAACTAGAAGAACCTCCTGACTGGAAGAGGTTTGGCAGACCCAAAGCCAGAACTGAAGTTGTCAACAGCTTGTGCAATAGGTGGCTTACAGTACAACAGCTTCAAGCACAGCTTAACACTGAGAGAAGTAAGTCTTTGTTTCAACTGAAGAGAAGACTTCGAGCTGCCGGTTTGAAAGGTCGAGAGGCAGTAAGAAAGCCATTACTAAGATGGCAAAATAAGAAAAAGAGGCTTTGAGGCTCTGCCAGTGGACGACTGAATACTGGAAGAAGGTCTTGAATGAATCAAGATGAAATTTCGGTTCATCAAGCAGGGTTTTTTAACGCTGAGCATGCGAAAGGATGGTTCCTCAGTGTGTTACACCAACTGTAAAACATGGAGGAGGAAGAGTGATGGTTTGGGGTTCTTTCGCTGGATCCAGAGTCGGCAACTTGCACAGAGTTACTGGCACCCTCAACCTAAACTGCTACCACAGCATTTTGCAGCGCCATGCAATACCCTTTGGTATATGCCCAGTGGATCAGGGGTTCATTCTAAAGCAAGATAATGACCCAAAATATACCTCCAGGCTATTTAAGAACTACCTAGAAAAGAAGCGCCCAGTCAAGTTTGACAGCAGGTAAAAATGATTTATTCCTAAAATAACCCACCACACCAACCAGCTGCAACTAGCTAATGTTTTGGGCTGCACCTATTTTGAGAAGCTCAATGTAAGCTTTTTTTGTACATGTCTACCATTTTTTTTGTCATGGGATTGCTGTATTGACTATTGGATTTTTGCATAAAATTAGTTAAAGAATTCATATGCATTTAAT